ACCGGCTTCTATAAATCCGACCTAATTCTGTAGTGTAGACATAGCCTAAGTCTAGTCATTAAAGATCCCTTGCACATTTTGGTATGAATTGGGGTGTTACCCGGTGTCCTTGTCAAATTCCAAGTTAGACAGTTGGCAACATGGCAAACTAAATTTCTCTCTGCAATTTCAACTGGATACAGTGTTTTTCACTTCCTGTCCTAAACTGCTCTGTAGTTTTAAACAGATGCCATGTTCTACTCCAGAGTTGGCTGCATTTCAGTGGTGGGTGAGACAATTCCTGTATGTGTATCTTGTCCATAAAATAGTATAGAAATATAGGCTATTTTATACTTAAAGTTGATTTTTTTTTTGAGCAAAGGAACAACTCCTCTCCCTGCCCATTCCCTCCTGCTGGGCCCGTGGTGTCATACCTGTGAAGCAGCCCCTAGTGAGAATTGCAAAGCACATGCAAGTGTGACCAATGTAGGACCAATGGATACCAAGCAGAGGATTGGTTTTATCAGGTGTCCCCCGGGAAGCTGAGCCTATGGAGATGTCCCGGCTCCTCCCACACTGTCTCCCATGTCACGTCAGTCAATGGAATGGGTTAGGAAGGTTTGTCTCCTTTACCATCGAGTTTTTCTCCATGTTGGCCTCCTTGGCTGTGCGGGTTCTTGAGGAAACAGGGCTCCAGCTAGATTTGGGAGTTGGGGCAGCATGCAGTGTTCTGGGGAGTGGTGAGAGATGATGTTTGACGTGCTTTTCCATTTCCTTCCCCTAGTGGCCCTGCCAGCCTGGCATCTGAGGGGGAGTACACACCCGGCCAAGGCTTTATCCTTCTGGACGACATGGCTTGTACAGGCACAGAGTTCTCTTTCCTGGACTGTCCCCACAGCAACTGGGGGCAGCATGACTGCTCGCATGCTGAAGATGTGGGGGTCCGATGCTCCCCTGAAACCAACAAGATCATCGAAGACACTGCTGGTACCTTACTCTTCCTCTTTCAATAGAGGGTGCGGGGAATGGCTTACTGTTCCATCCCTTCTGGAGATTAAGGCAGGGGCGGGAGCTCTCCTAGCCTGTGGACTGCTCCATGGATGGGGTTGCTTATGGGGAAGGGATTCCAGTGGCCTTCCTGCTATGATTATGCACCTGCTGTGAAGATTCCTAGTTATCCCATAGCCGGACCACCGAGTTGATGGTTCCACATGTTAAACGTGATGCACAGTGTGACCATTTCCTGCTGATGCTAAAAGATTACATTTTCTAAGGCATGTTGCGCATGGCCACTGGCCTGTTCTTCTCATGCCCCCACCAAGCCCATGATCCCACCCTCACACTTCTCCTTCCCACTGTGCTGACCTATCTCCCCCTTCCCTATGTGCAGTTTTCTTTTGCAAATCTGCGTGAATTCCACTGGCAGTGACTCCACCTTGTAAATAGAAATGAAACCCTGGGAGCCGCAATTGCAGAAGGAGGAGCTGCTGCCCATTGCTCAGTAGAGGGACGCTTAGACCTTGTTTACAGAGGAACATTGTACCCTTTTGACTAAACCAGTTTAGAAACTGTTAAATCAGTGCAAGGACTTTGCAAAGACAAATGGACTTAGGCTAAATGGATATCAGGGGCTGTTAAGTTGAAATCAGTGTCCATGCAAGGGGGTTACACCCATTTAATGAAATTGGTATGTAAATGGATTTAGTTAAATTGGTTCAATTTCCTCATGTACACAAGGCCTTATTCCCCATGGCCTTCCCTACAGCAGGCATATCCTGACTCTCCAGCTGGATTTTGTCATTTGGCTTTACAGCAGGACTTTCTGACCTTTCCCAGGGGGAGGAAGTCTCTCTCCCCACTTGAAATAAGCTCATCATTCTATTCCCAAGGTGCATGTGCGCTTGCCCACTGTTGGCCCCATATTTATTAACTTTCCCCCCTCTCTTCCTTTTCATGTTCCCCTCTTTATTCAGCTTGTGGTAAATTAATTTCTTACACCCAGTGCCCTACTTCTTCAGCAGGGATGTGGTGATTGGTGGAGAGTGTGGACGCTGCTTTATAGATAGAACTATTGGTGTTTCCTGGCTTCTGATGTCAGTTCTGTGGGATTCAGCTTTCTGTCCAGATCCCCAAGTCTCACTCGATGCATTTCCCTTTGTTATGATCACTGGGCTTATTCTCATGCAGGGCCCCCTGTGCGGCTGGCGGATGGAGAGAGCACCAAGGAGGGGCGGGTAGAGGTGTTCCTGAATGGGCAGTGGGGCAGTGTCTGCGACGATGGCTGGACAGACAAGGATGCAGTTGTGGTTTGCAGGCAGCTGGGTTACAGGTAAGAGGCTCGGTCAGTGTAACTTGTAAGCAGGGGTCATTTCCTTCTGCCTTGTCCTCCAGGAGGGAGATTTGGGCTGTTTTGTATGTTTGAGCATTGCTGTGTGTACAGGATAGCTGTACTCTCACACACACCCTGCAGCTGTGGGGTGCTGGAAATACTGCAGGATTGAAATAGTGTACGTCTATGCAGAGAAACCGATATTATTGCCACAAGAGTCTTTTGCTTCACATTCAGGATATGTCTACAGTACAGCTGGGACCGTTCTTCCCAGCCTGACTAGACAGACACAGGTTAGCTCCGCTCAAGCTAGCGTGCTAAAAATAGCAGCATAGCCAGGGTTTGCATGGGCAGCAGCTTGGGCTAGTCACCTGGGTACAGGACCCCTGGGGTCCATACTTGGGCTTGTAGCCTGAGCCGCTGCTCCTGCTACCCCTAGCTACACTGCTATTTTTAGTGCGAGTCTGTCTACCCGAGCGTGAACCACACCTCCCTGCTGCAGTGTAGATGTACCCTCTGTGTAGATGGGTCATCCCTTCTCTCCTTGCAGTGGCGCAGCAAAAGCCAGGACGATGGCGTATTTTGGGGAGGGGCACGGCCCCATCCATCTAGACAACGTGGAGTGCAGTGGCACAGAGCGCACACTGGGGGAATGCGTCAAACCCGACAATGGGATTCACAACTGCTGGCACAGTGAAGATGCTGGTGTGAGCTGCGACTATATGGAAGAGAAGGCCCAGGACACCAGAAACGCAGGTGCTCCTGCCCCTTCCCCTGAAGAGTCTCCTGCTGGGAGAGGCAGGGCCGCCCAGAGGGGGGGCAAGTGGGGCAATCTGCCCCAGGCCCTGGATCCCGCAGGGGCCCCCACGAGAGTTTTTGGCGGGTCTTCGGCGGCACTGAGTGAAGGACCCACTGCCAAAGACCCGGAGCTCCTTCCACTCCGGGTCTTCAGCGGCAATTCGGTGGCGGGTCCTTCACTCGCTCCGGAACCCACCGCCGAAGTGCCCCGAAGACTCGGAGTGGAAGGACCCCCATGACTGAAGACCCCAGCCCCCGGAATCCTCTGGGCGGCCCTGGGGAGAGGCTGGCACTGAGCAGATGTGAGCTTCCCAGCCGCTAGTGCAGCTATTCCCCTTGTCTCAGTGCCTTCTGTTAGAAATGTGGCCTGGAGTCACTGTGCGCTGCCCACAGCCAGCACTGCTGCTCCACCCCATATAGTGCCTCTGAGCCTGCAGGAAATCTAGGCCACCAGTGTTTCTGCCCCATTGTGCAGTGCAGAGTGGCAGTAACTGTGCTCTCCCTTTGGTCTCTAGCAGGCTGAGGAAGTGGATTCTGCAGAAAGGGCTGAATGGCTCCTGCCCCAGGCTTGGAGCTAGAATCACAGCGAATAACCATCTCCAGTCAAAGGCAGGGCTGGATTAACTTTTTGTGGGCCCGGCGCCAAACATATTTGTGGGCCCCCATGGGGGTAATGGAACTTGGTGTGGAGAGGTCAGGTCCCTGGAGATAGGGGCCGGCCAGGGGCAATGGGGCATGGTGGGGGCGGCCCCACTCTGCTTAGCCCAGTGTGAGGGCACTGTTTACAAACCGGCAGTCGCCAGACGCACACAGGCCCACCTGGCCCTATGCTGCCAGTGGGCCCTTTCCCCTTGGGGGTGCGGGCTCATGCCGTGCCACACAGCCCCCCCCCCCGCGCGCCCAACAGCCCCCAACTCCCTACGCCCAGCGTCCCCATCCAGAGACCCCCCCCCACAGACCGCTATGCCCAGTGCCCCCGACCCACTATGCCCAGCACCCCCCTGCCCAGAGACCCCCCCCCCAGAGACTCCCTACCAGAAATGCAGTGCCTTGCACACCATCATCCCTGCCTAGTGCCCCCCCGCCCCACAACTGCCCAGCACCCCCCCACAGCCCCATCACAATTGCCCAGCACCCCACACAGAACCCCCACTCCCTAGTGCCCCAACACACACACAGATCTCCCCCACCCCCATTGTCTTTCCCCACAGCCCCACCACCACAACTACACAGCACCCCACACAGACCCCCCACTGCCCAGCACCCCAAAACACACAAACCTCCCCCACTGCCCAGCGCCCTCCACCCCCTCACAGAGCCCAGCACCCCCTACAGACCCACTCCCCCCACCCTGCACCCCAGGTTTCCCCCCGGGGCTAACGGACCCAGAGCAGCTCGCGTTCCCAAAGCCCTTTCGCAATCCAACTCCAACCCCCAGCCTGAGTGGTGCTGGGGCAGGCGGGGAGCAGCGTCCAGCCTTGCGGGGGGGATGAAAGTTCTGGCCAGGGGCCCCCCGCACACCCAGCTCCGGGAGGAGACGCTGCTCTCCAGTGCACACAGCTCCTGGCACCTGCCACCCCACACTGGCTCTTACCTTGTTGATCTCCCAGGGGCAGAGAGAAGCCCCCGTGAGGGGTTGGCGGGGGGGGGGGGGGAGCCAGTGGCCAGATGGGGGCTTATTCCGCTTCCCCCCCAGGGAGGGACAGCAGAGTCAGAGTGCAGCACAAGTGGAGTGGGCTGGGGCCCCTTCTGAGAATGGGCCTGGCACCATTGTAAACCCGGTACTGGTCAAATACCATTCTCACCAGCCCCACAGAAACAAGTGTGCTGCACATATGGCTTTCACAGCAAAGTTCTTAATCAGACCAGTTTACTTCTTGGAGGATGAGGGCCCCCCAGGGAACAGGGGGTGGTGGCTTGATGCTTGTCAGTTAAGCAAAGGGGGGGCTGCCTATAGGGTGACCAGATGTCCCTATTTTATAGGGGCAGTTCCAATATTTGGGGCTTTTTCTTATATAGGTGCCTATTACCCCCCACCCTCTGTCCCGATTTTTCACACTTGCTCTCTGGTCACCCTAGCTGCCTAACCATTCTGGTTTTGCTGTGCAGGCTCAGCATCTGGCATGTGTGGGATGCACTTGCTTCACCGTCGCAAGAAAAGGATAATTGGTGGAAACAAGTCCCTCAGGTACTGTCCTTTGATGGCTGGGGAGAGCAGAGCTGGCACCAGCTTGCCTGCAAGGAGGCAGGGATGTGGCAGGCCATGCCAAGAGGCAATGGTGCTTTTGAGAACCCTATTTTCTTCCCACAGGATGCAGGTTTCCTTGGGACAGCCAAATACCATAGTGGGCCAGAATGGGGATCCTGCTGTTTTCTGTTCTGTGCTGCTGGCACAGCAGCCCTGGAGACTGAACTCTATGTACTCACAGGATAGGGGCTGCAGCTGTGCAAGCTTTCCCCCTGCTACCTGGGTACGAGTGGTTCAGTCTCCATGGCCGATTCAGCCTGAGGCCCCTCTGCAGAGGCTATCATGAGGGGCAATTAATGCCAGTTGTGATAATGCTCTCAGTGACAGGAATGCTTTCTGCCTGGGAACAGAGCCACTGAGCTAACTCATTATACACAGGTTTCAGAGTAGCAGCCGTGTTAGTCTGTATCAGCAAAAAGAACTGGAGTACTTGTGGCACCTTAGAGACTAACAAATTTATTTGAGCATAAGCTTTCATGGGCTACAGCCCACTTCATCAGATGCTTGGCATAGCATCTGATGAAGTGGGTTGTAGCCCACAAAAGCTTATGCTCAAATAAATTTGTTAGTCTCTAAGGTGCCACAAGTACTCCTGTTCTTTTCATTATACACAGGCCACCCAAAAAACACCCAGGATGACTCTGGATCTCTGATGATCTGGCCCAGATTTTAACTGATGCCTCTCACAGCCAACTTCTCCTAATAGAAAGCAGCCTGGAGCAAGGTGTGTTATTGATATATGTTTAAACTGCCATCAGCGCCCAATTAGTTAGTACAAATTACCAGGGGAATAATCTCCGTGATCCCGTATTGCAATATCTATCTGTAAAAGTGGGGGGATATTGTTGTGCCCAGGGCAGGGCCGCCCAGAGGATTCAGGGGGCCTGGGGCAAAGCGGGAGAGCTGCGGCGCTTGTCCTCACCCGGCGGCAGTCCAGGTCTTCGGCGGCATGGGGCCCTTCAGTCGCTCCACGTCTTTGGCAGCACTGAAGGACCCGCCGCCGAAATGCTGCCGAAGACCCAGACCGCCGCCGGGCCAGGGCTAGTGGGGCCCCTGCGGGGCCCAGGGCCTGGGGCAAATTGCCCCACTTGCCCCCTCCTCCCCCCGGGCAGCCCTGGCCCAGGGTCCCAGTGGGGGCCAGCTATGGTCACTCAATTAGGGTGAACTGCAAAGAATGGGGCAGACAATCCCCATTAAGCTGGTGGATATTCTGTGACGATGCGGCTCTGGCGGGACCCAACTGAGAGTGCCAACTCAGGACAAAGTGCTTAAACAGGACAGTTACAGCCCAAAGCTGGGGTTTTTCCACCTCTAAGGCAAACCAAACCAGCCAGACTAAGAGGACTTCGGTCTCACCCCACTGGCTAACCACAAGTCTCACAAGCAATTTCCTTAGACACTCCAGTTTCCCAGTATCATCACCAGTGCCACTCGTTATGGGGACAAATGGTTATGAAAACCAAGACCCCAATAAAAGAAAAAAAGTTCTCCTGATCCCAAAGGACCAAGCCCCAGACCCAGGTCAATATACAAATCAGATCTTACCCACAAATCACGCTGTTGCCAATCCTTTAGAATCTAAAATCTAAAGGTTTATTCATAAAAGGAAAAAGATAGAGATGAGAGTTAGAATTGGTTAAATGGAATCAATTACATACAGTAATGGCAAAGTTCTTGGTTCAGGCTTGCAGCAGCGATAGAATAAACTGCAGGTTCAAATTAAGTCTCTGGAATACATCCCCCGCTGGGATGGGTCATTCAGTCCTTTGTTCAAAGTTTCAGCTTGTAGCAAAGTCCTTCCAGAGGTAAGAAGCAGGATTGAAGACAAAATGGAGATGAGGCATCAGCCTTATATAGTCTTTTCCAGGTGTAAGAACACCTCTTTGTTCTTACTGTGGAAAATTACAGCAAAATGGAGCCTGGAGTCACATGGGCCAGTCCCTGCATACTTTGATGAGTCTGAAGGCATATTGGCCTTCTCTCAATGGGTCCATTGTATAGCTGATGGTCCTTAATGGGCCATCAAGCAGGCTAGGCAGAGCTAATCCCAGCTTGTCTGGGATGTCACCCAGAAGCATAGCATAATTTGCCATACAGACAGTATAGAGCCAATATTCATAACTTCAACCACAAAACTGATACACACATATAGACAGCATAATCATAACCAGTAAACCATAACCTTGTCTTAGACACCCCATTCAACCCCCTTTATACAAGATTTGGGTGCCACTACAGGACCTTGGTTGCAACAATGAGCTATATGGTCCCAGTTTATGTCAATAACGTCACATATTCCAATACTTAGATTTAACAAGCCAGCATAAAACAGCTTCTTTATTACCTTACTGGTTACTCAGAAGTCCAAACAACACAGTTCCCTTAAAGTGATCCAGCCTCAGGCCTCCATCCAGGTACCCACGTCAAATATGATGAAAATTTCTGTAAATCTTATTTCATCATGTAAAAGAAAAGGTTCCAACAGTCCCAAAGGATTGGACACATTACTTCCCAAGTTAATGAATGTTTCAGATCTTACCCATATACACGCTACAGCCATTTCTTAATAACTAAACTAAAATTTATTAAAAAACAACAGAGAGAGAGTATGGTTAAAAGATCAATATACATACAGACATGAGTTCAATTCATTGAGGTTCAGATTCATAGGGGATTTGATAGCTGCTTTCAGCTACCTGAAAGGAGGATCCAAAGAGGATGGATCTAGACTATTCTCAGTGGTACCAGATGACAGAACAAGGAGTAATGGTCTCAAGTTGCAGTGGGGGAGGTTTAGGTTGGATATTAGGAAAAACTTTTTCACTAGGAGGGTGGTGAAGCACTGGAGTGGGTTACCTAGGGAGGTGGTGGAATCTCCTTCCTTAGAGGTTTTTAAGGTCAGGCTTGACAAAGCCTTGGCTGGGATGATTTAGTTGGGAATTGGTCCTGCTTTGAGCCGGGGGTTGGACTAGATGACCTCCTGAGGTCCCTTCCAACCCTGATATTCTATGATTCTATGATAGCATAGATGGTGAGCTTTGTAGTTGCAAAGAGTTCTTTCAGAAATAGTTCATAGGTTATAGTCCAATGTCCAAATATCATATTCAGGGTGTACCAGCTTAACTGGGACCTCAGTCTTGTGACACAAACTTCCCCTGATGAAGCCTAAGCAGATCTGAGATGACAGAATCAGGACCCAAGGATCTTTTATCCAATTTCATGTCCTTTTTGACAAGTTGGAGTTCAGAAGGTAATGAGCATGACTTTGAAGGAAGTCCATCACCGGTACTTAGCTATAGAATTAACATAAGGCAAGTTGCTTGTTCCTCCATCATTCACAGATTAGTTGCTATAAATCTCAAAGAGAGATGAATGCACAGATATCCCTTGTTTACAATTAATTTATATGCTAGGATGTTCTTTTGATCTCTGAATTATCAGAATACAGCATAGATAGGGACTGTTGATTACATCATTGATCCTACTCATACATATGTAAATACACAAACATTATCCCTCCACATGTCTTTTGAGGGTTATTTATTTTGCAGGATGTTTAACCCTTTCTGGCCATGCGTCACTGTTGTCAAGGGTGGATCATTGTTAGTTATGTGGGATTATATAAGAAATTAGCCTAGGCACCATCCATCACAAGGACAGGGCAATAATAATATATTACTGTATTCTAATGTTCAGTTGAATTAAGAAATGATTGCTACAAATTGGCAGGAATGCTATTACCCAGGGATACACCTTCATATGTGAGGAACAGAGATAAACTATTTGTATATAAGAATATGCCCACTGATCTTTAACTCTACATAACCTATTGAACTGAAGAGTACCTAGACTTGCTTCTTTCCAGCAATCACACTTAAGCCCACATCCAGCCATGGACATATAATTGCCTGTTGTTCATGGTGGGGATCTTACACCTTTCTCAAGCAAATCAAGTGCCTGCCTCTCTTGGAGACAGGATACCAGACTAGTTGAACCATTGGTCAGATCTGGTATGGCAATTTTTTTGTTCCATCTACAAGCAACCTGGAAAATACCAGCAATTGTCCTTCCTTGCCAGCTTTGGGCTGCAATTGTTCTATTACCCATTTCCCTAAGGGCTCCTGGAGACTTTTTCTGAAGTCCAAGATTCTTCATGCTCAGTCCCACCACCACATCATGTGTGTTAAAGCAACAGTGATGCCCAGACTCTAGCTGCGAATTGAAAGGCATTGCAATACTGGTTTCTATTTTCTGCATTTTGCCACTTGTGTGTATTCCAAAGTGCTTGTGGGACAGTCCATCATGGACTCCAGTCCTCGTTACCTGCCCCCACCAAGTCACTTGGAATGCTGGTTTCTGCTTTCAAAGCTGAGGACAGGGATCCCAGGCCTGTTTCCTGTCTTCCCCAAAGCAGTGACTAGAAATGCTGAGGAAGCTGGAGGTGATACGGCTGGAATCGCTCCTTGATTTTTATTGTGCTCCCAGTGGTGAGTACAGCTTCACTAACTACCTCCCTCCAGTGGTGATTCCTAATGTTACCTTGACTGAAGAGCAGCGCTAAGGGAGGATGAGAAGTGGCTGAGGCGAGATGGGGCAGTGTGGGTGGGGCGAGAAAGGACAGCACCATGCCATTGTGTGCGTACTGCCCATTATTCCTCTGTTTCTCTTTCAGAGGTGGTTGGCCATGGCAGGCCTCACTGCGGCTAAAGGGGTTTCACAGAGACACTCGTCTGCTGTGTGGCGCCACGCTGATCCACAGCTGCTGGGTCGTGACTGCAGCGCACTGCTTCAAAAGGTAACGGGGGGAGGGGGAGTTCTGGTGGGGGGGGGTGAGCAAGGGACAGGGAAGATAATCCCGTCTGACTCAGTCACTGCCCTGCCCCCACGTATAGCGTCAGTTCCTTCCAAAGGGCATGTGATCTCTGAGGAGCGGGGTTCCTGTAAACAGTTGCAGGAGCCATGAGCTCTGTGCACTCCCAGCACTGCTGCTGCTAGAGAGGCCAGCCGAGAGCTAAGCCATGACCCAGAGGTTACTGAGCTATTTGTGTGGGGCACGTGAGCCTGTAACTTCCAAGTGCTATAAAGTGGAATAAACCTGCTCTTTGGTACCCTGCCTATAGTTTGAGGAACAGTAAACTGGGGTGGTCAGGAGCCTGGAGTGGCTTTGGTCCAGTCACATGTTCCTGCTGCCTCAGTCTAGAGCAAAGGTCCCCAAAGTGTGGGGCGCGCACCCCTAGGGGGGCGTGGAGAAACGTCCGGGGGGGGTGCAGCGGGCCCGGGACAGCCCCCACAGGGGCAAGGAGGGAGCACCACCCAGCCCCTCCCCGCCCCCAGCTCTATTCCGGTCCCGCCCCTAGCCACGTCCGCCAGCCCCACACCTGGCCCCATCCCCAGCCTCGGCACAGCTCTGCTCCTGGCCCCATAGAATCATAGAATATCAGGGTTGGAAGGGACCTCAGGATTTCATCTAGTCCAACCCCCTGCTCAAAGCAGGACCAACCCCCAATCCCATGCCAGCCCCAAGCCTCAGCTGCTGGCCACAGCTCTGTTCCTGGCTCGGGGCCAAGGCTGGGGGCAAGGCCAGGAGCAGAGCTGCACCTGGCCATGGGCCTGGCTGCTGGCCCCCACTGCAGCCCAGCTGCGGCTCCGCTCCCACTCCCAGCCTCGTCCCCAAGCCACGGCCCTGCTCCCAGACCCACCCCTAGCTGTGGCCCCAACCTTGGCCCCCTTATCCCGGCCACTGCCCACCCCCTTTCTCCCACCCCCCTGGAGCCACAGTCCCGCTCCCGGCCCGGTGTGTGTGTGTGGGGGGGGAGAAGGGCATGGAGATGGGTAAGGGGGGGTCACGACCCTCAAAAGTTTGGGGACCACTGATCTAGAGGGTCCGGAAGATAATTCATAGCCTGGTTCATGTCAGACAGAGAGTTGGGGTGCTTGGTGGCGGCATGAACAGATGTTCCCTTCACTGCTAATGGGAACCACCAGTCCCCTGCTTAGCACTGACTTGCTGGGGACTGGGAGGAGCTGGCTCTGAGGCAGCTTGTGAAGTGACCAGACAGCAATGCTCTCGCCTGATGCGCTTGTGGGCACTGTAGTGGTACTGTGGCCTTTCTGCCAGGGGCATGGTCCTGGATCCAGCAGTGCAGTGCTCATGCCCCAGGTGGTCACCACGTGAGCTCTTAGGCGGCTCTTTGTCACCTGGCCAGGTTTGGCACTGATGTGCACCGCTACCTGCTGCGAGTAGGCGATTACCACACAGGTGTGAGGGAGGCCTTTGAGAGGGAGATTCCAGTCGAGAGGATCATCCTTCACAGGAACTACCGGTCCAGCAGCAATGACAATGATATCGCCCTGGTCAGGATGCGGGGTAGGGGTAGCCACTGCCTCTCCTTCAATCGCCACGTCCTGCCCATCTGCCTCCCTGACAGGAAGGAGAAGGCTGCCATTAACAGGCAGGCCTGCATTATCTCCGGCTGGGGAGACACAGGTGAGTCAGAGGCAGGGCCGGCTCTAGGCACCAGCAAAGCAAGCAGGTGCTTGGGGCGGCAAATTTGCAGGGGCGCAAGAATCCAGCATGGGAGCTGAGAACCAACAGGGAGCCCTGGGAGCTGTAGTTCCTTGGTTAGCTCCCTGCCTATAGACCCAGCCCTGGAGCAGGGAAAGAACTACATTTCCCAGCATTCCCTTGGCCGCAATTAACAGGAAAGAGAGGGGGAAGGAGTGTGGAACTGAAACCTCATGCTGCAGCTTGCTGTAAATGGTAGGGACAGAGCCAGCTCTGGTTTTTTAGCTGCCCCCCACCCTAGCCCTGGGCTCCCCCTGCATCCCTGTGTTGCCCCAGCCCTGGACTCCCCCCCGCCCACACTCCCTGCTGCCCCAGCTCTGGCCCCCACCTGCACCCCCTGCCGCCCCAGCCCTGGGCTCTCCCTCCACCCACACCTCCTGCTGCCCCAGCCCTGGGCTCTCCCCCAACCCGCATCTCCTGCCACCCCAGCCCTGGGCTCTTCTCCCCCCCCTGCACCCGCA